CGATCAGGTACGATGATTTCTGACCTCGAACTAAACTTACCGGGTGTAACCGTCGCGAGATTAGCGGGACTACCACCCATAAGTAGAGAACCTCACTTCACGATCAGGTACGATGATTTCTGACCTCGAACTAAACTGGGAATCCGACCTATACTGACTTGCTCGTCGGAGTGCTCACCTTTTTGTGCAGGTCCGCCCAAGTATTCAGATCGGTCCGAAGGCCGAGTTCGAGCTGCAACCTGAAATACACTGTTGTGCATATCCGTGCATAAACATAGTCATTTCTCAAAATTTAGAACGAGACAAAGATGGGCTGTCAAGAACGTAGAGGAGGTAGGATGGGCTGTTKGTCAGATCTAGTATGGATCGTACATGGACGGTAGTTGGAGTCGACGGCTCTCTTAGGATTCCCTCAACTGGGATCCCCGGAGAAGAGATCAAGTTGGCTCTTGCGAATTGCTTGATGCACGAGATCCCTTCAACCCTTTGAGCGAAATGCGACAAAAGGAAGGAAAATCCATGGACCGACCCATCGTCTCCACCCCTAGGAACTACGAGATCACCCCAAGGACGAGAAACAAGATTTATTACTAAATATGTCTGTTTTTTTTTTTTTAAATAGAAATATAAACAAGATTTCCGAACCCAACTTCTAAAAAGTTGTTAAAGTTTGACAAGTGACAAAGAACTAAAGGGTCCACGTATGAAAGGGTCGAAATAGCGGCTACCATGGATAAATCCAGGCCGTTGAAGCTATAGCCCATGGCAACGGCTGAGATCAAATGTAAGTCAAATACGTTGACTCCACACGAGAAAGCTTCCCTTCACTCACGTCGTTGCCAAAACTGGAAAAATAAACCGCAGATATAATATTGAAACCAGAGAGAAAAAAATCCAGAGGAAGACCCATAATGGCGGCAATCTTCATCTGCACGTTAATTCTTTCAATATCCATTTCTGCAGTTTCTGGAGCTTCTCAAGATCTCAATTTCACCTTCAATGGCTTCCGCTCAGGCGATCTCGCTCTCGACGGCGTCGCCGAAGTAATCTCCGGCGGCCTATTGAGGCTCACGAATGGCCTCGAGCAAAAAATCGGCCACGCCTTTTACCCGAATCCGATTCCGTTCACAAACAGGTCGAATAATTTCTCCATTTCCTCCTTTTCTGCAACTTTCGTCTTCGCCATAGTTTCGGAATATCCCGACCTCGGTGGTCACGGGATTGCTTTCGTAATTTCTCCGACGAGGGGTCTCCCCGGAGCCCGGCCGAG